TTTTTTTTTTTTTAAGAAGTGGAAAAATACCAGTCTTTTGCTTATCCAACCACAGGTCTAAACATGCTGGCCTTCCCTCACGCCCTCTCTCTCTACCCCCATACAATGAGAACAATTTCAGTAAAAGTTGTTTTGTTTGTGGAAAGAAGAGCAGGGATTTGCTTTAAGATGAATTTGTAGAAAGAATACTGGCAATCTTTTAAGCCCTTCAGAAACTGGGAACACATTTAACCCTAGTAGCCTAGAAAAAATTACTTTAGCTCTCATTGTGATGCTGATATCTATAGCTTTTGTAGATACGCTTTCTTAAGCAAGAATGTATTTGTGCATGGCAGGAAGCATTATGTACAAACTCACTCCAAAAGATTTGTTTTACTAATTGAAATATGTTGAGCTCCCACTAATGGATTTTCTTTTATAATAACTATAACTGAAAATGGCAAGTGTTTGAAGCTTCAACAAGTGCATTTTCTGCTGCAGGTGCCAAACTTTCCACTTTTCTTTCTTCTCTACGACTCTCCAGGTGTTCTCGCAAGCATAACTACCCAACATCCAGCAAGACGCTCCTCGTGCGAGGGATGTTCATCACCTTTGGCATGGAGCAGTGCCGCAGGGATGACTATGACACAGATGCGAGTCTCGAGTACAGTGATGAGGAGACCTACCAGCAGTTCCTGGAGTTCTATGAGGACGTGCTCCCTGAATTTCAGAACGTGGGGAAGGTTGTTCAGTTCAAGGTACGCATCTAAGTGTGGTTTACAAGCCTTAAGAAAAATTCTGTCCAGGATGCCCTAGCTAAATCCTGTGTGCATTAGGAAACTATAGTGTCTTTACAGCAAGCTGTACATCTCTCATGTCACCTGTAAACTTGCCGCTGCTGTTACAGAGCATTGTCTTTCTCTATGTGAATATCCTCTCCCATTCCCCTGAACTGTTATAAAAGCTTGTGCTTTTATATTGCAAGTTCTTCACACTGCTCAACAGCCCACTTACCTCACAGTCTTTTTTTATCCTGTGCTAAGTCCCAGAGGGTCCACTGAGATGGTTAGACAGTATGAGCTGGTTAGACATCTGAGCTACTGTATTTGTGCATAAGGAATGAAGTAGCGGGAGTATGAAATGTATATGGAGTGTACACCCAAACAATGTCATTTTAGGACTGGCTATATAATAAAATCAGATTACAAAGAACTGAAAAGCTAGTAGGTATTCCAGTAGGAAGAATTATAATAAAAAGGTAAATTATTTAAATGGTGTTTAGATACGTTATCCATCCTTAATTTGTGCATTCGGTTTGCTGAATGTTTTGTACTGAATTTTTCCCACTTATATTGTGATTTTGTATGGGGAAAAAGAGGGATCTGTAAATGGAGGTCACTGAGATGAATGATGTGTGTTAACAGTCCCATGTTGCCCCAAATTATGGCAGCTTGGATGGTGAAGTCTCCTTGTGTCAGAATCTATTGCAGCATCCCTTTCTGATCGCCATTCCTGAGTGTTTTCTTGCAGTCACCAGGAGGCACACGGTGCCTCTTCTCCTTTTGTTTCCATCTACTGACGGCTGTCTCAGGACTGAGGTTGTATTAGCATTTCAAGCAAGAGGAAAGTAGAAGGAGTGAATTTTCAATAGTTGTGTAATGAGCTTTATAGGTAAGAAACCTTCACTTGTTTGGAGGAGTATCCCCTCCATATTTTGACTCATGGGCTATTAGCAAGCTGTGTTCTCTGCTAGAAGATGGGATGTAGATTCCCTATGGATGTGGGTTGAAATGTCCTACCAGCAAAGTCAGGTATCATTGTTCTGTGTGGCTGCGCTAAGCTGCACCTACCTGGACCCCTGTGAGTGTTTGTGTGGCATTCCTTGGCTTCCAAGGCAATTGTGCAATAACAGGCTGATTCTTATGGACATTTTCATTACGTTAGAGATGCTTCAGAATGACATGTTGGCTGCAGGGATCTTAACTGGGAGTGAGCTGAGTCTCTGCAACTGTTTAGAATCAGATGACACACACACTCTTTTAGCTGACTTCCTTTTCCAGTGTAGCCAAAGGTTTTATTCTTGCTGTTCTTTCTGGAAAGCTGCTCCAGAATCTGGGAGATCCCAAGAAAACACTCTTCTTTTCCTACCCAAAAATGTCTAAACCAAAATCATTCTCACTTGTTCTTGTGTTGACATTGTTTATCTCAAATAGTTTGACTCCTTATCCTGTAATATTTAATTATACAACTACTTGTTGTTGCGACTGAAGCCCTTTCCTGATCCAGTGCACAAAGAAATGTTTCCTGAGGATCAGTCAGGGCTCAGGGATGAAAGGAGCCGCTAGCCTTGTTTGTGCAGATATTGGAAGAGGCCTGGGGGAACAGAGGTTGGGATCACAGTTCTGCCCTGGGGAACTGCCTTCCACCTGCTTGGGCCTGCCCATCAGGATTTTTCGTAACTAGCAGCAGGCTTTCAGGAAGGTAATTTGTGCATTTTTTGAGAGCTTTAGATATATTCCGAATGCTAAATCATTACACAAAAAGGGTTTTTAGAACCTGTACAGTGAAAGCTGGTGACTTCAGCTTTTCTAACCCATCTCACAGGGGTGCTGTGAAGGTAAATTGCTTTAAAGAGTCTCTTACTGTAATGAGTCCCACATTTCCACATGAGGATACTACTAATTGTTTTCAGAGCAGATTTGTCTGTTGCACAGTAGGGTTGGCCCAGACAAGTGCAAGAGTACAAACTGTCTTGTGGGCTAAGTGAAACTGAGGTGCCAGAGTTAATCAAAGCATAATGCTGGAAACAAACATAAGCCAGAAAGGCTTTTTTCTTTTTTTTTTTTTTTTTTTTGATAAAACTAAGCGTTCAGAAGAAAATCATATCTAAGATGATGTGGATGAGCTGTCATAAATGAATGGCCCATCTCGGAATGCATGAGCTGCTGTCCAGCACAAACCTTCCACTGCACTGACTTTGTGTTTCCATCCCCTCAGGTCAGCTGTAACTACGAGCCTCACCTGCGAGGAAATGTCTATGTCCAGTACCAGTCGTAAGTACTTACAGTCGTTCTTGGTGCTAGAACTAAACTCCAGAGCTGAGTAATGAATGAGAAGTGTTTGTATAACCCATGCGCTTCATTCTCATACTGTAATGGGAGGCCAGAATTGGTAAGTGATGTCTGAACTGATGGTGTGATGGTAATGCTGTGTGTTGTTTTCACTTTTTAAAGGGAGAAGGACTGTCAGGCAGCCCTGGCCCTGTTCAGTGGACGATGGTACGCAGGCAGACAGCTTCACTGTGAATTCTGTCCTGTGACGAGGTGGAAAACTGCTATTTGTGGTGAGTCATGTAAACACTTGAAAAAGAGAACAAGTGTTACTCGAAGAGTACTAATGGAAGTGAAAAAGAAGGATTAGTCTGCAGCTTTCAGATCTGCCTAATGTTGTAGTTCATTTCTGTTTGGAAGACAAATGTGCTAACTTGTGTAGATCTAGGAGAGAAAGGGAATATTATACCATGGGATGTAAGTGCCTGAATTGTTTTAGTGGATTTACCTTGGACTGGAAAAGAAGGTTTGGATACTAGCTTTGGAAATAATAATCTTAAGATGAAACTACAGGAAGTACTACTTCATCTCTCAAAAAGCAACAGCAGTTTCTGAATTATCAACAGTTCTTAGCAGTAGCTATCACATTTAACATCCAGATTTATGCTCTTAAATTAAGATAAATGAAATTTAATGAAAAATGAAATTTGTTTCAAGGTAAAACCAAACCTTCATAGCTGTTAAAAAGTTAATTCCAAGAAAAGTACACAGGGAAAATTAATCTTGTGTGAATTAAATTGATAGGTGGTCAGAGGCATGTTTTTCTGTTTGGAGAAGTGAAATTCAGTTTATTAAGTTTCTTCCCAGTAGGTACATAATGAAGAAAGAGATTTAATAGATGATCTGGTTCATAAAAAATCAAACCCTACTCTGTTGCAGGCTTATTTGAAAGGCAGAAGTGTCCAAGAGGGAAACACTGCAACTTTCTTCATGTATTCAAAAACCCAAACAATGAGTTCTGGGAGGCCAACAGAGACATACGTATTTCTCCTGAACGGACTAATCAGTTGTCTAAAAACTCTGAAAGGAGAAACAGATCAAGCCATCGTGATGACTATTACAGCCGGTCCAGGAGAAGGGGCAGCCCGAGCCCAGATCATTCTTACCGGAGAAATGGAGAATCCGAGAGAAAAAAGAACCGCCGCAAAAGCAAGAGGCGGCACCGATCGGGGCGGTCGAGGAGCCGGGAGAGGAGGAGGTCTCACAGCAGGGGCAGGAAGAGGAGAGGCCGCAGTCGCAGCAGAAGTCACAGTCGAACTCGCAGTCGCAGCAGAAGCCGGAGTTCCTCTCGATCCAGGAGCAGGGGTAAAAAGAGATCGAGCAGCAGAGGAAAAAATAGTGAAACTCCCAAAACAAAGTGAGAGATACTTTTAGAAATCTGTAATTGGTCAAAAATAGATCTGACAGAGAAATCTTTACAATAGGGCACCAGATATATTTTGAGTTTTAAATAAAATGTTGTTGCACATTAAAATGTTTCTTCCTAATAAAGGAACCTAGTTTATTGTGTGCTAAGCTTCAGAGAATTAAAAGTTTTAAGTCCTCTAGAAGGTGTGAACGTCAAATACTCTAGCTACTCTATCCCTCCGAAGTGCTGCAACACCTGGATACACACTGAGTACAAATAGAGAAGTAAAGCCTCTTTGGTATATGTTTATTTCTGTTATGTGTGTGTTAAGTGTTTCCTGTCCCTGTAGGGAGTGAGTACAGAACAGCCAGTGTGCCGTAAATTCACACCCTTGCACACTGCAGACCAAGGTCTGTGTAGACACTGCCGTTTGTACTTTTTCATCTGTTTATGGGAAATCTCTTTCTAGACAAAGTAAATATAATCGTATTATGAGTTTGAGTAAAGGGATCTCAAAGACATCACTGTTTGATTGTACAGTACTTGCCCAGTAGGAGCTTTGTGGTCATGAGTGTTGGATTTTTCTCTCTCCCCTGACTTGAGCTGCTGAGCTAATTGCCTGTAGGGATTGCAGTAGACTAAAACCGAGTAGGAAGTACACAGAGAAACAATCGATTTATTCAGTACCTTAATCCCCAAGTAAGAGCTGAGACCATGCAACTGTAATCCTCCAGCGAGGATAGAAAATACTTCACATACTTCTTGGCTGCACACCACTTGTAAGTGAAAACGACTTGCCTAACCTGTGCTGGAGGGGTGGAAGTGTCCCATCTGGGAACCAAAGCTGCAAATGGGATTGCGAAGGCTCAATTGAGATAGTTGCACAGTGGCTGAAGAAACTGAAGGTTTTACACCTGAAAGAACACTTTGTTTTTGGGAGAGGAGGACTTGACTTTTTATGGTTTTTTTAGGTTTATTTTACAAACAGTTTTAGGCACCCTACTTGTCTCACTTTCCTAGAGCCAAGGTGGAGGGTAGGGTACATAAAAATGAAGTTAAAGGGACAAAACCTTTTTGAAATTACAGCTGTATTAGTAAAGTACCTGCAGTTAGATAAATCCTTAAAAATATTTTTTCACTTTTAAGTGAAAGATTTGTGCTGTTAGATGGACTGTTCTTCATACAGCTTAACTTCAGGTATTTAACTTGGGCACCTCAGATGCTTGGAGAGACCAGTGTGTGGGGCTGAAGGTGCAGGTCTGCAGAGATACCTCCCCTCTCTTTAGCCTCTTCAAAGAACTTGTGCTCCTGCCCTTAGAATACAGATCAGACCCCACGAGTTAGAAGCCTGAAGTAGGCGTGAAGTGCTCCCAAATAGGAATTCATTAAGACTCCAATGATGTAACATGAACTACCATAGAAAATCTGGATTATCCAAACTTTACCAATAGCATTTCTCACAGCAAGAACGTTTTTTTTCCCCCCAGGATAGTTAAGAGTGAGTGAAAATTGCTTCTGGATACAGTATATATATATTTTTGCTTTTCTAAATGCATACTGCACCTAGCATGCTGATTATACATTTTTCCTTCTTTCTTCATGTGTAACTGTTGACCAATATGGAGTAATACAACAAAAGTGCTATGTATTGATGTTCAGTTCAAACCCGATTTTCACTATATATTGTCATAACTGTAGGCAGAGCTGTAGCTTAGTTAATTTGATTAAATGTTTTAGTTATTAATAGATGTAGGAATTGTAATTTAATAGCATAACTTTTAAAATAATAACTTTGAAAGGTGTATTTCAAAGGATAGACAGCACTAATTTTAAATTCCATTTGAGAAATTTGTGACCACCATATATTTCTCATAACATACCTTTTTCTGACTGCACCTTACAGACAGATTTTCCCCGAGGTTTTTGTTTTTCTGTAGATGCTCAATTGTCTCAGTAGTCACTTGTGCAGCACGTGGCAAACTCTGGTTCAGTTCCCTGGAGCAGAACTGAACTGGCATTTCCTGCGTGCAGAGATGCCACCAGCAGGCTGGGATCTTTCTTTCCCTGGGGCTGCCTTTCTTCCCACAGCTTGTGCTGTTGACCCAGCCTGCTGGCCAAGGCTCTCCAGTGGGAGAGCTGCCTTGGGCCATCTGCAGACACTGTGCATCCCGTGTCACGCGGCCGGGCTGTGGCGGAGCATTATCCCAGCAAAATCAATTATCAAGCTCAAGGAGTGCTGGAGTGGGTGGTGAGAACCTGTGACCCGTTGGGTGAAATAAGCAAACCAGGCCTCTGTGGGATTAGAAGCTAAGTACAAACTCTCACCCATGTGAGAATTCCACAGATAATAAGGCTCCTTGTCCCTACAGTTTCATAATGGCATCTGGGAAGCTGAGTGGCTGTATTTTTCTTTTTTAAAAAAAGGTTCTTGTAATTAAAAAAAAAAAAGGCTTGCTCAGAGATGCATGTAAAATTTAAAAATACTTTATTTCTGCTACTACAGTGGCTGAAGTTTCAGCTTGTTTTTGTTGAGGTCTGGACCCAACCACGCTGGCTGTACCTGTGCAATGCAGGACTGGTAGCTGTGATTACCATTCACTTTCACCTGCGGTCTGTTTATTACACAGAATTTGAGTGCTGTAGATCTGACATTTAGCTTGCATTTGTCAGCATGAAACCTGGGATCCAACCAGTTTTCTAACTTCATATTTTTCAGTATTATTTCTCTACTTCATAACCTTAAGTAGTGTTATATGCATGGTTTTGTGTTTCTTTATTATTAGCTGAGTGAGCTAATTATTCTGGAGAGACAAAGAGACTAGAAGTTTTTTTTATGTTAAGCTTAATTCTTTTCTTTCCCAAAGGGGCAAATCCCTAGAAAAACACAGGAAGGATTTAAATTTGCAACAAATAGCCTATTCCCACTACGTGTTATTCTGCATATACCACAGAAAAGGACCTTATAAAGTGAACTAATATTGCCCAAGTCTTGATTTGGTTTTTTAATGACTGCTTTAAAAGCAGCAGCTTTCAAAATATTTTTTCACTTGTGAATTCTGCAGGGATCACAGAGGTGCTTTGGCGTGGTTCTGAGAGCAGGTGTTTACACAGAGATTGAGGGTGGCAGTGCCAGGGCCTGCCAGACACCCTGTTTCAGTCAGGATGGGGAGCAAGCTCTGCTCCTGCCCGTCTGTGGGAGGAGGAACAGCCCCTTTGGGCAGCAAGGCTGCCTTATTCCAGCAGCACAAGGGCAATAGTGGCAGCGTGTGGGAATTCCCATAGGCACAGGCACTGTTGCTGCCTGGCAGAATTAAGGCATCAGGTAACTGGGCTTGCCCCCTCGAAGCAGTGCCTTTCCTCCAGCTGTAGATGTGGCCCCCCTCTGTGGGATTTCATTCCCTGCCTGCCTGTCCAGAGTAGCAAACCCCCATGACGGGGTGCGGAGGGGTAGGACGTGTCTGTGTGCTGAATGCATGGCATTTCTTATGGAAGGGGAACAAGCATCCCCAGAAAGGCCTTCCCTCTCTGGCCCTTTCTTTTGTGTACATTGGGCACATTGTCCAAAATGCATCCCAAGGGACTCCTCTCCCAGCTTTATGCCCTGTGGTGGCAGCATGGCTGTCTTGGATCTGGTTTTGTGTTAGCACGTTCAGTGTATCAGAAACTGCTCTCAAGTGTACCAGTGACATTCATGTGTGCTAAATAACTTGGTTTTTTTCTAAAGACATGCAAGAGCCTGCTCAAAGATGCTTTTGCTTCCTGTCCTAGATCAACACTTCTTTCAAAACATGAAAAGTGAAAGTCTATGCTAGTTAGTAACCTAAAGACTTAATTTTCTTCCTCACATCATCTGAAGAGCGCAGCTCCTTTTTCTTTCACTATAAGCTTGTTGTAATTAAAATAAACTCCAATGTATCAGCTGAATTCAGTATCCACGGTTAAAACCCAGAAACAGTGAAACACTGACTGTCAAGCCATGAGACAGACTGCAAAGCAAGCTGTACAAGCATAACCCATGGCACAAGGTAAAGACTTAAGTCAGTGAAGTTGAAGACACTCAAGCCAACAATCAACTTGCCTAAACGATCCAGAAATTCCAAATGATTCTTTAGCTCTCCCCATCCCTTCCCCACAAGGCAGAAAATTCAAGAAACAAAATTTTTATATCAAATAATTTCAGAAATGCCCAAAGAGGGTAAGTTTTCCCCATGCTTTGCTGACATCATCAACCAGTTCAGTTCTTTTAGAAGGTGGAGAACAAATTTGTCTGAGAAGTTTTTGTTTGAGCCCACGATTGTAAATGTTGCATTGACTTGCTTAGAATTCCATGAAAGGAATTGAATATTCAGTCTGTATTTTCCAGAACTCTCTCTGAACATGTGGTTTCTTTTAATTTTCAAATGAAATGGTACTACCCCATCAATTTAACATCCACTTTAATAAATTTCATGTTTAATGTGGTAAGCCTTCCAAAAAATTGCTAATTTATTGCTTTCTGTACAATTTAAGTGGATGTAAATAACTAATCTTGGACACAGTGTGCTCAACGTTTTTTAATGAAGTGCTCAAGAACAGGTTAAGCACTGTAATAAAATTTCCCTTTTTTTTTTTTTTAAGCCAGCACTGAGTAGCCTCTTCTTTCCTCTGCAAACACCAGCACTAATTACATATAAACACACAGCAATGGTGTAAAAATGGACATTTATTACAACTAAACCAATGTGACAGACAGAGGTCAAACAGTTTGTCACAATCACAACAAAGCTTAATTCAGCCAAGCACATACAAGTGACAGTGTAAACTTTAAAAACATATTTAATACATACAAAATTGTTTCTGGTTTGAAGTGGTAAAATTACCTTAATTTAAGTCAATCTCACACACCAGGTCATTCCACTGCAATTTCACCCTCCTCTATTCCTTCTCACTGTGCACTGGAGAAATGCCCTGGGAAAAAACAGTCTCTAGCAATCTGGAATCTCTGAGAGTAAATCCCAGAATGGGCATAAGTAGACAACTTCTAATGCCCCGAGTTCATAGGCACTACCCTGGGACTGCCCCAGGAGTAGCACACACAGCCCTGCCCCGGCTGGCCCTTCTATAGCCACAAGCATTTATGCTGGGATCTGGATCAGGGGCCTTGGAAGTGGCAACATTGCACTTTTCCTGTTGGGTGCCACTTAACCGGGATCCCATCGAGCTCACAGCCCAGCTCTCCAGCTGGCCACGGAAGCGCTGCTGCCATTAACACTACCAGAGCCAAGCTTTGTGAAAACATGAACAAGCCACAACTCCTGGAGTGAGGTTCCTGGAGAGGGAGGGGACAATCCCACCTCCACGGGGAACATGCAGATGCACAGCAGAACTGGGCAGCTCCCAAGTGCGGCACTACCTCCTCAAAACCACACATCAGTGGAATTTCCTTAAGCAAAGCAGCTTTAGTTTATAATTACTGGTCTGCTCAAAGAGTCAAAATATTACTGGATATCGGTTTACATTTGCAATGAATATACTATACAAATCTAATACCTAAGAGCTGTCACTGCAAATTAATTGGTTCAACTGTACATCACGCAGGATTTCCTAAGGGATGTGTCACATTTAAGGTGTAAATCAAGAAAAGCAGTCAAATGACATTGACACATAGTGTGGCCTTTTCTTTTTCCTACAGGTACCTATACACCAATTGAAGCATAACTATAAAACACCATTAAATACAAAGTAATTGGTAAACTTGGAAAGAAAATAATAAAAAGTCCCTTTCATAAAACTCCTTCTTCCCCATCTTTGAAAGTATTCAATTTTCATCATGCAAATCCTTCTATTTGGTCAGAAAGCTGACCTCCTTTCCTGTATTCATGTCAGGTCAGAGAAAGCTAATATCAGACCTAAAACCAGTTTCCTTATTTGTTTTGGGTTTCTTTCCTTCTTTCCCTTTTGAGTATAATAACTTGCACAGTTTTGCTCAAGGTAGCTACACTAAAACACACCCTCATGTCTAGTGAGCAAATCACTTTGCAGTTCTCTTGCAAAAAGCAGTTATCACCTTAACAGTTTTTACCAGTTTGATATGCAGATCCTGGCAGGATTCTTTGGTATAATGACAAATTCAGTAGTAAACAGCTATTTCCATTCTTTATGCAACAACTGAAATAAGCAGAATTATCACAAGCGGTGACTGAAATGTAGATGAACAAATTCTTTGGTTGCATAAACACAATTTCCACACCATGACATTTCATGTTTGGAGTTGTCTGTGTAGTTTCTTTTCCTCTAGATATGCTATGCTATGTCATAATAACACATTTATTTCCTGAAGTCAAGTTTCCTTATAAAAAACAGTACACTTATCGAAGTCAAATGCAATTTTCCTATAAATGCAGTGAAGGGAGACACTGAGTCAATTAAAATCTAATTCCCTTTCATTATAAATTTAGAACTTCGGTTTCTTGTTCCCTTTTCAAAAAGAAGTATTTTTTCTTGTAGGCCTGAATGAAGCAGCTTAGCAAAACAGTAATACTGACAAACAGCATCTTACACCATTAGCTAAACATTACAATGATGGCAGTGAACATTTACAGTATGAAACACTGAGGCGGCATCAGCTGAAGATTTATGTCAATCCGATTTCTTCAAGTACACTACGAGGGGTCTCTGCTTCCTATGGAGGGAAAATTTGAGACAGTAGTAAATGAACCCTGTGTTTCTATTGAGCAGTATTGAACATGGATTAGTATGGAAGATGCTGAATTAAAAAGAAAAGCTGACAGACATGAAAACATACAAGTACTGCTATTTGCAAACACGGTATTAGCTGCACTTTTCACACAGCTGTTAATTAGATTGTCATGGTTCACAGGAATAGCTGGTAGATTTTATTGCCCTTAAGCGCAATAAAAATAAAACAATTCAGATGTACCAGCAGGGAACAAATCACAACCAAGTAAGAGACAGGAATTGGAGAGGGATGGGGAAGCATCTTGCAATGGAGTCAGTGATTTTTGTGGTGAATTGTTTCACAGGTCTCAAAAATCTGTTAGGGAATAATGAATAAATGGATGGATGAAACTACCGATGCAACTAAGATACAGTATCCCTTAAGCTCTTTATAAAAATTCTGGGTTTTTTTACAGTGTTCCCATGCTTAATTCATAAAACCAGGTCAAGGTACCTTGGTATTCCTGGTGTCAAATAAATTCACCCCTTTTAGAAGCAGAG